CAGTTCTGGTAGGTGGGTCAGTGGTTTATTAACCCTGTTTCACAGCTGAAGGAGAGCCAGGAAGCGGCTCACCCAGGGTCAGTGAGAGCATGAAGATAAAAAATAGTAACACAAGAGTCCTAAATCTAGCTGGGGCCATTTCTGCATCTGGTATCCTTGCATTGAGAGCATCCGAAATGACTTGACACCTCCCCGGACGCATTAACTCTAAACCAGGAACCCACAGGAGAAACTTGCAGCAAAACCCATACTGGACTCTCCATGCAACAAATGACAAAACGAAACTAATCTGAGGCTGCAGGTCTCCGTGGATGCCTGTTGTTATGCCATGAGTCACTCTCCCTAAGATGGAAAGGGTAGAGTCAAGCTACTGAATGAAGCACTTTCCCTGCTCTGTGTTTTAATATTTTAATTTAAAAGGAAATTTGTTATTTAATAAGTGCGCGAGGAGATAACAAGGGCATTGCCTGAGCAAGGCTGCTGGTCAGAGTCCCACAGGGCACCTAAGCCTAAGGTCATCTCGCTGCAGAGAGGAGAGAGAGGCTTCACTTTTGCCGTTCAAGCTCCCAGTTGTTCTGTGGTGCCAGATGTGAGAGAGACTGGCCTATCATAATCACTAGACTGGAATATAAACCTTAAGGGCAAATTCTTTTTTAAAAAATGCATTTATCTATTTTTTTTGTTTGTTTATTTATTTTGAGAGCGACAGAGGCAGTGCAAGTTGGGGAGGGGCAGAGAGCAAGGGAGACAGAGAATCCCAAGCAGACTTTGCTGCCAGCACAGAGCCCAATGTGGGGCTCGAACTCATGAAACTGTGAGATCATGACCAGAGCTGAAACCAAGAGTCAGACTTAACCAACTGAGCCACCCAGGCACCCCATTCTTAATTTACAAAAAGAAATAGAGCTGTTAAAGAGATCTACTCTTTTTTCACCGTGGCGGCAAGCATACAGAGAAAATGAAATTGTCATCCAAAGAGTCCTTGATGAGCACGTTCCCTGTTAAGCCTAGAAGTTCAGCTCTGGTCCTGTGAGCTGTGTGACTTTAATGCACATGTGTATACTTTGTCTCTCTGTCTCTCTCAGGTTACATGGCTCACATACCAAAATACAAAAACGTATATAATGAAACAAATATTTGTCATCCATCCTGTCAGCCAGCTATTCAGTTCCCACTGCCCACCCCCAGGGGACAACATCATGTTGTTTCATGTTTCCATCCGGTATCTTTATGAATATAAAAACTGAGATCTTTATGTGGGAAGGGGGCAAGTTTCTTAATTTTTCAAGTCTTGGCATCTTCAGTGCTCAATAATCACTGGCCGTTATTTTTTAAATGTTTATTTATTTACTTTGAGAGAGAGAGAGAGAGAGCTGGAGGAGGCCAGAAAGAGAGGGAGAGAGAGAGAGAATCCCAAGCAGGCTCTGTGCTGCCAGCCAGCGCAGAGTCCAATGCAAGGCTTCATTGCAGGAACTGTGAGATCATGACCTGATCAGAAATCAAGAATCAGAGGCTTAACTGACTAAGCCACTCATGTGCCCCAGCATTTATTCTTGTTAATGATAATGATGTTGATAAATCTTCCCAGAGTCTGTGTCCCCTCAGGATATGAGCCACGCTCCTGACCATGGCTCCTAGGACCCTCTTGTTTACCCCTGAGGGACCAGCTTCGTCTTTGGTTCCCATATGCTCTCATATCAGCCCTCCAGCAGCTTTTGGTTCCTTGAAGATGCCATGCTCCTAGGACTTGTAACATGCTGTTCCCTTTGCTTCGAACATTCTTGTCTTCCCGAAACACAGTTCTCCCCCTGCAACCCCATCCTCTGGCTAATCACCAGCTCATCTTTTCAGCCTTGGCTGGGAAATCTGTGTTGGTGCCCATCCCCTTCCATCAGCGCCATGTTCTTTCACTCTGACAGCACTTCATCATTCACTCATTCATTTGACAAATATTTGAGTGCTAACCACAAGCCAGGCCCTGTCCTCGGCTTATCTGTCACACTGTATTGTCACTGCTTACTTCAATATTTCAACACTTCGTACGGTAACGCACTGTAATGCACATACCATCAAATTCACCCTTTCAAATGTAGAATTCAGGGGTTTTTAGTATATTCACAAGGTTGTGCAACCATCATTTAAATCAGAATACTTTCATCCCCCCAAAAGGAAATCTGTTAGTAGTCATTCTCCATCCTCACCAACCCCCCTAGGCTCTGGCAACCCTTAACCTTTTTGTCTCGGTGGATTTGCTTAATCTGGAAATTTCACGTAAGTGGAATCACACAGTATGTGGTCTTTTGTGATTAGCTTCTTTTTGTTAGTGTAACGTTTTCAAGGTTCATCCACGGTGTAGCACACATCAGCACTTTATTTCTTTTTATGGCTGAATAATAGCCCGCTGCATAGGTATACCACATTTGCTTTATCCATCCAGCAGGCGATGGACGATTGGGTTGTTTCCACTTTTTAGCTATTTTGAATGATGCTGCTGTGAACATTCAAGTACAAGCTTTTCTGTGAATCTATGTTTTCATTTTTTTTGGAAGTATACATAGGAGTGGAATTGCTGGGTCCCATGGTAACTCTGTTTAATCCTTTTGAGGAATTGCCAGACTGCTTTCTAAAGCGGCTGTACCATTTTCCATCCCCACCAGCAAGGTATGAGGGTTCCAACGTCTACACATCTCACTAACACTTGTATTTGTCTTCTTTGACTCTAGCCATCCTAGTGAGTGTGAATTGGTCCTTCTGAAGCTTTGTGAGGACAAGGACTCCATCCATCTTGCTCTCTACTGTGTCCCAGAACCCAGGACAGTGCCTGGCACTTACCAGACATTCACATTTTGTCTGATATACTCAAAAAGTGTTGAATGCATAGGTAAATCAAAAGCTACTTAGATAATTACCATCTTTATTGATTGTGAGTTTAACTCCCCAGTAGAGATCTATCAAGGGATCTAGTATCTTTTTCTGCACAATACTGTACCACCCCTCCTCTGTTACCATAGTCTCTCTTCAGGGAGAAAATTGGGTTAAAAGTAAGCTTTCTTTCCTTTCTTTTTTTTTTTTTTTTAAGACTTTACTTTTAAAAAATAATGTCTACATGCAACATGGGGCTTGAACTCACAACCCTGAGATCAAGAGTCACAATGCTCTACTGACTAAGCCAGCCAGGCACCTCAAATTTAAGCTTTCTAATTTTCCTTCAGATACTCATTTGGATCTTAGGTGTGCACAGGTTCCTTATTTAGGCACTTACAGATAATTTCTTGGGTACTGGAACACCTTGTTTTTTCCTACGTTCATTTCTCCAGCAGAATTCTCTACTTCCTTCTGCAGGGCTTTCTGCTCACCCGAAGCACTCCATGCTTGCAAATAAATAGTCTTCCTTTTGTTTCTTTCTAAACTGCTCACACTGGGACAGTCAAGAACTATGACAGACCAGCTCTTCTTTTGGAGGTTTTCTTTTAATATCTCTCTACACCATCTTGGCTCCTTGATGTGGAAGTATCTCGGGACATTTAGAGCAAGGAAGTCAGGCGAGGGACTGGGTGACGCTCATAGCCAGCACCCAGCACTTGAAAAATAGTTGTTGGATGGATGGATGGATGGATGGATGGATGTGGATATGTCAGAGATATGTTGCAAAATGCAGACTTGATCAACATACATTTATTGAGTACCCACTGTATCCCACTATGGTGATGTTGCAACAAAAGGTAAACAAACAGAGGACCTACCTTGGACTAGGAAGTTTCTAAAATCCCAGTCCTAGCTGTGTTATTTACTCCCTTTCCGTATCTTTTCACTCTCTATCGTACACCTAGTGATTTTCAGGATCACATTTTAGCTAAGGAATCTACCCATTGCATAAGCCCCACATAGGAAATTGTGATCTACTCTCAGCAAAATCCGGAATCAAAAGTGCCCCAGTTCGCTCCGTACCCCCAAACAGCTAAGAATCCCCCAAATACTTAGCTTCCTGATCTTAGGGGTTCCTGGTTGGGAACCCTCCGAAAGAATGGACAGCACGTCCACCAGAGGGTGCTGTGGGGGCAAATTTGTGCCGGGAGGGAGGCTTGACCAGTGACCCTCAGAGCCAGGTAGGCGTCTTGAGTAATTTTCATTCTTCCTGGCGTTGCCTTCCCAGCCCCTTGAACCATCGCCGCCCCTCCTCCCATAGGTGGTTTCCCCTCGATAATTAGCCATTTTCGGGGACTTAAAGAGTGCTTGCTTTGAAAAGACGCCTGGCTTCTGTTCCTGATACCCCGTGGCTCGGGCCACTCGGGTCACAGGCCGGTCGGGCAGGGTGGGTGGGTGGGTGGGTGGGGACCTCCCGGGCGTCAGCGGCCCGGCGCCGCAGGGGCCGCGAAGGGGTTAACCCGGCGGGGGGGAGGGGAGGGGGCGCGGGCCGCGCCTGCGCTCTGCCGCCCTCCATTGTCTCCACGGCGGCGAGGAGCGCCGGCGAGCGCAGCCCGGGACCGAGCGGGGCGGAGCGGCTGGCGGGGCCGGCGGCAGCTGGAGCTAGAGCGCGACGCGACGCGACCGCGGCTTCCCGAGCTCCGCCTGGCCGCCCAGCGCCGCAGCCCGCCCGAGGCCTGGAGGGGTCCGGGCCGGCGTCCATGGTCGCGGCGACCTGAGGAGGGGGACGCGCCCGGCTCCCCCAGCCCTCCTCTGCCTCCTCCTGTCCGGCGGGCGGCCTCCTCCGGCGCCTCCCTGCGCCCGCCCGCCGCCTCCCTCCCTCCTTCCCTGCGGCTCCCCCGGCTTTCGGGAGCCCGGGGGCGGCCTGTGGCGCGCCGAGACCGCGCCGGACTGCGCCTCTTTGGACCTTGAGGGGAAACATGCGTTTGGCTTGGATCGTTTTAAATTCTTAGTTTGGGATCCCCGCCCGCCTGCCTCTTCCGCCCCGCGGGTTTTCTTTCCTTTTTTCTTTTTTTCCCCTTTTTTTCCTCCCGGTCTCCTTTTTGACTCCCTCCCCCTTTATGCTCGCCCAACCCTCCCCCCGCTGCTGAGAAGTGGGGGAGGGTCTCGGCCTCCAGGTTCCCGCCCCACCGGGGCCCGGGCGAGCATGGGGGGCAAGCAGAGCACGGCGGCCCGCTCCCGGGGCCCCTTTCCGGGGGTCTCCACCGATGACAGCGCCGTGCCCCCGCCGGGAGGGGCGCCCCACTTTGGGCACTATCGGGCGGGCGGCGGGGCCATGGGGCTGCGCAGCCGCTCGGTCAGCTCAGTGGCGGGCATGGGCATGGACCCCAGCACGGCCGGAGGGGTGCCCTTTGGCCTCTACACCCCCGCCTCCCGGGGGACAGGCGACTCGGAGAGGGCGCCCGGCGGCGGAGGGTCTGCGTCCGACTCCACCTATGCCCATGGCAATGGTTACCAGGAGACCGGCGGCGGTCACCATAGAGACGGGATGCTGTACCTAGGCTCCCGAGCCTCGCTGGCGGATGCTCTACCTCTGCACATCGCACCCAGGTGGTTCAGCTCGCACAGTGGTGAGTCCGCGGGCGGTGGAGGCCTCGGAGGGTGAAGTGCAAGGGAGGGCGCGTCGGGGCGCCCCAGACCTTCGCGCGCTTGCGAAGATTTGGAAATGGAGTGCGCGACCTGGATCTGTCTGCTTTCCCTTTGGTTCCTGGGGATGAATGGGATATCCATCCTCTAGAAAAGAGGCTTCCTGCGAGGCTGCGGAGCCGGGCGTATTAGGACTTCAGGCGTTGATTCACTTGTGGATGAGCAGAGCCAGACCTGCCTATTGAAGTCCCGTTTATTGGCATCACCATCCTCAGAAAGGAGGTTTTGTCTGGCTTATAACAAGTCGGCCTCGAGGCTTCCTCTCTGTCACTGCAGCATTGTGCCTGCCTCACCGTTAGCAGCGAGGGGGATCCACTTTGACCAAGCAGTGTCTCTCGAACAAAGAGTGTGAAAAGAAAGAAAATTGGGGGCAAGTGTTGTTTGGATTAGGGCTCTCACTTTGGCTGGGAGAAGGGGGTGCCCAGTTTTGCCAGTCTCCTGCTGGAGATCCGTTTGAATTGGTAAAAATGGAGCAGCCGGAAGGCTGCTGGCATATAGACAGGTGTGGCCTGCTGAATGGAGGGCCTAGCCAGGGAACCTCCCTCTGAGGCTTTGCAGGACCTGGGCTCTGGTGGCGGGTGCTGCATGCAGTAGGTTTGGCTCCATGACTCTCGCATCCCTCCATCTTTTTTCTTCTCCTCCATGCTAAGTGCTAGGTCTTCCTGGTGGTCTGTATCTTTTCGTAATGGGGAGGCGGCACTTGATTGCCTGGCTGTTGGTACCTCACAGGGCAAGAGGCGGATTCAAAGAATCTGGATGAATTCATTTTGTGAACTTCTGGTGACAGGCCAGCAAAAAGCTGGAGGAGGGTTTCCCAGGCCCTGAGTGGCAGGGCGGAAAAGGCACCGGCAGGAGCTTCTGGAGGAAAACAGGTCTATCGGCTCAGCTAACCTGAGAAGCCAGGTGAGGCTTCTAGAAATTGGTCACGAGGGCGTGGGGCCGCTATTTGCTAATTGGCAAGTTGGAGTGAAGAAGTTAACGTATTCAGACTTCTTTGAGAGAGTGAAGAAAATCTAGGTATTGTGTAGAAAGAAGAAAGATTGCTTTCTGGAGGATGTATCTATTGGATCGCTGTCCTAGCTATGGTTGAAATAGGGTAGACTTTTGGAATCTTTTTTAATTTCTGGTAATAGGTTGGCTTTTGGTTCAGTTCTATAAACTTTAATTTGTGAAGTAATTTTTTGAGGGGGAAATAGTGACTGACTTAGGGTACCACTTGAAAGTGGCTTTTGAATTGCTAAAATGGTATTTTAGTCCCTGAACAGACCTCTAGATATCATTGGAGCTTCCTCGACCTGCATCAGTCTCTTGCTCTGAATGAGATGCAAGGTGTGACTGCTTTGGGCACTTCGAGACATTTGATCATTTAGACATGTTGAAATTAAAATTTTTTTCTCCACAAAATTTGGTCCAGAAAGACTTAGCTATAGTTGTGAGATGACGGTGGTTAAGTGTTTGAAAGAACCGTCATTAGTATCCGATTTTAAACTGAAAAACACTGTAAGAAGATTCTCTCTAAAATCAGAGAATTTTGTGTGTTGCAAAACAAATGTAATGTTATATAGACCCTTGTCTGGGAAAGGAGTTTGCATTTAGCTAAAATTTCTTATCTGTCTCTTACTAGAAACTTCGTTTCCTTATTCCACCTGGTACCAGGTTCCATGTTGGAGTTAAGAGCTTACAGTTGGATTCCAAAATTTCAGACTCTTCAGCTGTAAAACCTGAGTTTAATTTTTTTCATCCAGCTGTGGTGAGGGTAGGAAGAGCCACTGAACCATGAGAATACAGGATAAGTTGGGGCATATTAATCCCTTTGGGATTGATAATAAAGTGTGTGTGAGGCTGCTCCTAATATTTTGGGTAATACCTTCTTTTTTGAAATTATTTATACACCCCCACACACACACACATATATGTAGTTTAAAGTAATCTTTATGCCCAACTCATGCTCTATGGAATGAGCCAGTCAGGTGCCTCAGGTAAGAAATTCCTTGTAGGACCGTCCTGTCCTTTTGTAAGACATGGTCTGCCTTACATGCCTACAACATGCCTCCACATAGGTTCCAAATGCTCAAGTGGGGGCGGGGGGGGGCATCACCCTGATTGAAAGCCACCGCTTTAGGAATTCATTGTTTTATTCAAAATTAAATCATTAATTTTTCCTTTGCAGTTCACTTGATGTGAACCTTCATATTTCCACTTTTGTGCAATGGTGGTTCTGTCTCACTTTCCGGAACAGGCCACAGGATCTTCCTTCCAGGACATCCTTTTCCTCTCTCGTTTATTGCTGTAAGAGGAGAAACTTGTTTCTATTTTGGAGCTTTTGAGTAAGGTCCAAGCACTTTTTGCTCTTGTGTCACAAGAGTGGAAGCGTAAGGATTTCAGTGCACAATGGAGTAGATGCCTGGAAGTTGATGCGATGTTGTTGCTTGTGTTTTTAAGGTGCTTTTGGAACTCTTCATGGGCACAGAAAACAGTTGTCAGTGAAATAAGTAGGGGGGCTCAATGTACACGAAGCTTCCTCAGAGAGAGTGAGCTGATGTTGTATCTGGAGGTCGGATACTGGGGTCTCGGCCCCTCCTGGGAGTAGCTATGACCTTGGGTAAGACACATCACCTCTCTTGAGCCTCATCTTTGTTATTTTTAAAATAGATGTGGAAATCTTTGGCAGTCAGCCTGTAAAGGTTGTTCCCGAAAGCCTGTGAGGATACGTAGCCGTCGCATCTGTTCCTACACTTCCCCAGGTTGTGACCCTTATAATTGGAATGCTTTCCCTTCCATTCTGTACATGGGATAGCTCTTTCTGGTCCCTTCGAGTTCTACTTAAATTTCTCCTCAGAGGCCACTCTTAAAAATTGCCTCCCTCGTGTTAATCTCTCCGGTGACTCACCTATTACCTTAACAGCACTTAACACACTTTATAAGTGTTTTATTTATCCTTTTAGTTTTTCTATTTAGTTTGAGTTTGAAGCTTCATGACAGCAGGGCTGTGCCTCTTGCTCACTGTTGTCTGTCTTGCACTGTGTGTGCCTGGCACAAATACTTCTCGAGTGAATGAATTGGAGTGCCTCGCGTCCATCATCTCTTTTAATCGTCACAACAATTCTAAGCGGTGGGCGTTTTTATTCCCATTTTACAGGTGAGGAGCCTGAGATACAGGACGAGGGTGAGGAGCCTCCACAAGGTCAAATAGCTAAGAGGTGGCAGAGCTGGGATTGGAATGTAGGTGTCCCGTGTGAGAACCTGGGCTCCTGACCATTACACTCCACGGCCTGTCATCCTCAAACACCGGGAAGCTGGGTAGTGTACTGGAAATTGTACTGGCCTGCGAGTCACAGGGCTAGGCTCATCTACTGGTTGCACTACGAGTTAACTGCCTGACTTGTGACCGTGGGCAAGTGAGTCATTTAGCCTCAGAGTCACCATTTTGTCACCTGTAAGGTGGAGATAACACCTGTCCTGCTTACCTTTCAGAGTCATGGTGAGGGTCTCATGAGACAATGTTTACAAAAGTCAAATAACATACAAAAGGAAGGTGGTGTTCCTGTAGGGGCACTTCTCTGATAGTTCTCTGCCTTTCATCGCTGCAGAATTTGCTGGGCAGAGAGATTTAGAACTGTGTGAACTGTTTCTCCAGAATGGAAGCTAGTGCTCTCTATTGAAATCTGACCTGCATCGACAGGCCGTTGATAATAATGAATGCCATTGAGAAGAGCTGCTTTATAAGATGAGAGTTAGTGTCCCTTTCTTTCCACATTAAAATGTAAATTTTGCTTTAAGGTGTTTAACCCCCTAGTGGTTTTCTGGGTGGTGTTCTGGAGGTCTGGTCATTCTTTTTTGGTGGTCCTGTTGATCTCAGAACATGGATTACTGGATGTTGGGGGGAAACATAGAGGATCCACCATGTTAGAAGGAAGAGGTTGCCTATTTTCTGGGTCCTGCTATAAAATGGTCACTGAGGGTTTCAATCCAGCTTCTTAGCCATGTGCACGTACACATGTGCATATTCAGAAAAATCTAAACTGTTCTCTGTTGTCACCAAGTCTTCGACTGGAGCTGATAGAAGGTAACTTTTGATAAATCTTTGAACATGCTAGCAGGATATCTCATGGATTCTCTTTTGCCACCATGCTGGCGTTCTCAAGTGATTTAATTGTCTCTTCTTAAATAATTAAAGAGAGTTGCCAACCCTATTGGAGTGGATCAGACAGCCTCCCTGTGCCTCACCATAGGTGTGCGAGAGGTCATGGTCCTTTACATGGTTTCTGGGGAAGGAAAGCATTCTGTGGTCTTCAAAAACCATGACGGCTCTCCTGCTCTGCAAAAGTCCTATTCTTAATGAAAATTTTTTCGGTAAAGCACAGTTTTTAGTTCTTTGTTCTTTGTTTTTAGTTCTTTTACCATGAGGGCTTATTTTCTATAAAGTAAAAAAAGTTCCCTTGAGAAGCTGATGATTCCTTGAAGGTCACAGTCAACTCTTCCTCATTGAGGTTTGAAGGGTGTTGGAAGAAACAATGGTTTCACTCTTAAAGTGTTTGTTTTATGGGACGTGTACATTTTGCTATTAAACAAAGACACACCCTAAATATGTCACAAGGAATACTCTGAGCCAGGCCACTCCGCACCAGAGAAATACACCTCTAGTTCCTTTTGGGAAAAGGAACATGCTTTGTATTTTACAAATGTGATATTCAACCCAAGCTTATTGGGCACTAACATTTTGGCAAATCTGGTTATAAAACTAAGTTTCGATTTTGACAGTTTCAGAATTGGAAACAAATTCATAGAGCAGTGGTGGTAACTTAAATGGACGAGTCTCATTTCTGCTTACCCTTAAATAAGTTTTTTTTGTTTTTTTTCATATATATTTTTTAAGTTTATTTATTTGAGAGAGGCAGAGGCAACATGAGTATGGGAGGGGCAC